CCTGCGGCGGCCGCCCGGGACGGTCAGGGCACCCACAAGGCGCGCGCTCGCCGTCGACGGCGGGGCGCGGCTGCGGGAGAGCAGCCCGAGGCGAGGAGGCCCTCCCCCCACGAGCGATGCCCTGGCAGATTGGGCCAGTTTGATTGCCGCCAGTTTCCGTCGAACGCGTGCGGATCAAGGGTGCGACGGTGATAACGGATCATTGTGCAGGCAGTTGCACGTCTCGTGGAATATGTTGCGGCGTTTATTTCCGTGTTTTGCGTCGTGAATTCTTGTTATCCGTGTCGCGCCTCCGTCTACTCACTCCCTCCTCCTCCTCCTCCTCCCTCCTTTTCCATATCACGATTAGAATTATCGCGATGTGACAGGCCTCGCACTTGGGCAACACAAGGGGGTGCCGCCAGGGGATGATTAGGACACTTAACGGTTCGTGCCCAGATTGTGGGGATGTCTCCAGCGGTTCGCTTGTTTCACGGATGTAGGCGCGTCTTTTTCAGGGCCGCGTGGTGTTCGCGATGTCGCAACAAGCGTTGCTGGGCGCCACAATGGGGAGCGACCACGGGGTGGGACATTTGCCCACTTGCGGTCAGCATTCGGGGATATCTCACGCGAGACGTTGGCTTTTTGAGGTGGGTGTACTTTTTTTCAGGGCCGCCACGAAGGAAGCGAATACTCGGATCAGTCCCGGCAGTCGCCGCGGTACTGGGAAGACCGTCGGATCGATCATTTCGTTGTCGATTTTTTTTATTGGCGCGTACCGTTCAAACCTTCAGGGTGGCCCAGTGTTGGCAAATTTTGCGCGGTGGTTGCACGACGAAGGTGGGCGCACCATAGAACCCTTCACGACAGCCCATCGTTGTAAAGATTTTCGTCGCGGGGCCTTGGACGCTCTGGGTCGTCTTGGCCTTGGATAGGCTCAGAGTGCGTGAGGGGTGTGCCGAAATCGGGCCCATTGAGCCGTCTTGAGAGGTACGTAGCTGTTTCTTATGTCTTGTTTCGCCGATCGGCGCGGGCCCCCGCTCCCTCCTCCCCAAAGACCAGATCTTGGCTGCTTAAAGTGGTTGCTTCAACCGGGTTGATTAAGCACTGGGGCCCGCCCCCCCTCCTCCCCCCTGTGGACACACGAGCTGCTGCTGCTGTACGTGTGTGAGTTGTTTTCTCGAGGCGCCCTCCTGGGAATGAAACAAAGGGTATGTAGGCAGCTGAAATGGGATCATGCGGAATCCTATTTCGACCTGCGGCCGTCTGTATGTTTCATGGTTGCACGCCGAGTGGAACACGTCCACCGCGTCGACAACGAACATACTTTTTCGCGTTGCATGCCGAGTGGAATTCGTCCACCGCGCCCGCAACAGCTCCTCTGCCGCGTGGAATGTGATTCCATTGGTCCGCCAAAAAGGGTGTGGAAAGGAAAGGGATTGAGAGGGTTTGCTGAGAGGAGAATGCAGGATTAAGGTCGACTGGGGCTCATGGCGTGCATCCGTGGGGGCATAGAGGGATGGTGCGGTTTGCTGATTGATCATGATTGATAGAAGTCTTTCTGCTCTCCGATGCTGCGAACCCTAGGCCGTCGCCGCATCTTGCTAGAACCAAAGCGCGCGCGCAGCGCGCGCGTGGTTCTAGTGAATATTTACATTGGGTTTTGATCATTGAGTTTTCAACTTAACATGGCCTCCGAATGTATAAATACAGGAGGCATCGCGCGCGCGCGGGTGGCCCGGCGCCGCGCGGGTCACCAGCGCGCCCGCGCGCTTCGCATATTGTATTGGTTTGTATATTTCCCACATTTATATGGCCGCCTCTTGGGCCCAGAGAATGAATTTTTACATTGGGTTTGGACAATTGAGTTTTCACCTTAACATGGCCTCCGATTGTATAAAACCAATACAGGATGCATCGCGCGCGCGCGCGGATGACCCGGCCCCGCGCGGGTCACCAGCGCGCCCGCGCTCGCCTCGCCCATTGTATTGTGTTTTCTATATTTGAGGTGGGCATGGCCGCCTCTTGGGCCCAGAGAATGAATATTTACATTGGGTTTTGATGATTGAGTTTTCAACTTAACATGGCCTCCGATGGTATAAAACCAATGCAGGAGGCATCGCGCACGCGCGCGGGTGACCCGGCACCGCGCGGGTCACCAGCGCGCCCGCGCGTCTCGCTTATTGTATTGTGTTTTCTATATTTGACGTTGGCATGGCCGCCTCTTGAGCCCAGAGAATGAATATTTACATTGGGTTTTGATCATTGAGTTTTCAACTTAACATGGCCTCCGATTGTATAAAACCAATACAGGAGGCATCGCGCACGCGCGCGGGTGACCCGGCACCGCGCGGGTCACCAGCGCGCCCGCGCGCTTCGCATATTGTATTGGTTTGTATATTTCCCACATTTATATGGCCGCCTCTTGGGCCCAGAGAATGAATTTTTACATCGGGTTTCGACAATTGAGTTTTCACCTTAACATGGCCTCCGATGGAATAGAACCAATACAGGATGCATCGCGCGCGCGGGTGACCCGGCCCCGCGCGGGTCACCAGCGCGCGCGCGCTTCGCATATTGTATTGGTTGTATATTTCCCACGCTTATGTGGCAGCCTCTTGGGCCCAGATAGTGAATATTTACATTGGGTTTTGACCATTGAGTTTTGAACTTAACATGGCCTCCGATGGTATAAAACAATTACACGATGCATCGGGAACCCCGTGACAACGTGGAGCCGTCTTGGGGCGGTCTTGGAGCGTCTTGTACGCATGTTGGGAGCTATATTGAGTCATCGAGGGCTATCTTGAGCGATCTTGGAGGTCACCTTGAGCTCTCTTGGGCCCTCTTGGCGCCATCTTAGGCCATCTTCGGTGACCCAACGACCCGCGAAACGCCCCTTCCAGGCCCAGGGGGAGGGGGTAGGGGGAGGGGTAAACCCCTCCCCCAAGGGGAAGAAGGGGGTTGAGGACAGAGAGGGCTCTTTAAACCACTCACGCCCAAAGGGCTGGTGGGATTTTTATATTGTGTTTTGGCCATTGCGTGCGCTGCAGAGATGTGTGTGCATGGTGAAGGCCACGTTGGCTTTTCTCGGGCCGACGTCTCCATGTTGCGACGACGTCTCAGGCGAAACGGCCCCAAGCGGCCCTGCAAAGGCACCAAGGGTGAAGCAGAATGGTTTCCCCATCCTTCCCACAGTCTATCTTAGGAGTTCTCCGGAAACAAACGAACTGTCTATCTGTCGCGGGCTCGCCGGTCGCTGTCGCACCGTCGGCGAACGTGCTTGGTTACGTACTGTGCATCTGTCTGGCCACCCGCCGTCGCCGTCGCACCGAAAAAATTGCGCGCCACACATGGTTGAACTTCACTGTCCACGGCGCGCCCATCGCACATCGCACAACTTTTTACAATAACTTCTCAATAGTTCCGTGCGGCGGACAGATCGTTTTTGCGCATCTGTCCCCGACGGACCCGTCGCCGCCGCATCGGGGTGATCATCGTTGGGGGAACCCCCTCATAATAAAAGGGAAGGGGGCTTCCCTTCGAGTAAGCTACGACGTTGCTCAGATTGGCTTCCCCCCCGGGTCGCGGCCGCGGCCGCTCCCCTCGCCCGGGGAGAGTCGACCACTCCCCCTCTTGGAGCCGACGTGGCGGTGTCGTGGGCAGCTCCCCTCCCCCGAGGGGAGCCGACCACCCCTCTTGGAGCCGACGTGACGGTCTCGTGGGCGACGACGACCCACGCAAGATGACGAGACCAGGATACGTCTTCCACAGGCCGACAGGGTCGGCGGATTTCCCTCCTTGAGCCGGTTCCCGCCGAACGTTCCGCTTCTCGATCTCATCTCCGCGATCGTTTCTTCGCCGCGTCGTGCAGTTTTTGTTAGGGTCCCGCGGCCAGACGAAAGAGCCTTGATGTCAGCCGGCCCTCGAGGGCGGCAAAGCGCCTCTGTCCACCGTTCCCCAGCGATCCAGGGCAGACTCTGGCAGCTTCCAGGGCAGGACTCCAGCAGCTGCTGGCGGCATGCACCTGGGTGTGGTGGCGCTCCTCCTCCTCCTCCTCCTCCTCCTCCTCCTCCTCCTCCTCCTCCTTTCCCTCAAGGGGTCGGAGTCTTCTAAGATGGTCTCCTCGAGGGCAGGAGGGTGTCCCAGAAGCTCCCCGCCGTCCTGGAAGGCCACCCACCTAACCTTGCCCAACTCCCGTGTGCGCGCCGGCTAACTTGAGGATGTAGGTGGGCGCTGGCCAACAGTTTCGGTCGGTCGGTTGAAATGTCATAGGGGAAGACGTGGTCGGCGTTTCGGGGAACGCGCCGATTTCGGCCAGATCTTGAGCCCCTGTGGGGCCCAAACCATCGTGTTCCCCGCCTTCGCCCCCGCCAGCAGCGCTACGCGGAGAACTCATGCCCGCGCGCAAATGTTCCTGGCGGTGCGCCCTCCTTCCATGCCCGCTCGGAGGGCGTGTGCACCAACCCAAGGGGCCCAGCGTTTGCCTTGCCAAGGTCGGTGTGGGTGGCGCTCTGGTCCTCCGAGGCGGCGTCGATCCCGATGACGACGCGCGCGAGGACGACGATGAATGAACGAACGAAATTGACGATGAACGAACGACGAACAACGAGCGAGAAACGACGACCGAAGAACGACGAGGACGACGACGACGACGACGACCGCCCCAGACGTAATTACCCGAACATCTCTGGAGGCGCTCAGAGGTCCCCCCCAGAGGCCAACCGAGGCTTCCGCAGAGGTTCCCGGAGCCGATCGGAGGCCCAAGAATGACCCCAAACACGCAAAGGCCTTGATTCTTCGAACCTCGATCCCTCTCTCCTTCGACGTCGCATTTTGTTCGTGACGTGGACGCCCAGTGATCTCGACCCCTTGCCCGTGGCCAGCTTTTCAACCTGAGCCGTTTTCTGAAGGTCCTGGGCCAGGAACAAGCCAGCAGAGACCGAGCACTTCGAAAAACGGGTCGTGTCACGATATTGTTGCGACGCCCAGATCTGAGGGATCCGCGATCTCCGATCGAGGCCCTGGCTGCAGCCCCTGCGGCGCGGCACCGTGGCTTTTGCGGGCTCCAGCGGCGAGTCCCGCACGTCGCAGATGTGGATTGTATTCGCGGACGGTGTGGCTGGCGACCAGGCGTTGGAGACCCCGAGCATTTACATCCAGCCCCCGATCGGTTACATCCAGGCCGCCCGTCTCCGCCTCCCCGGGCGGCGCACACACGAGGGTCGCGCGATGGAGGCGGCCTTCTAAGTCGGTGGTGAGCTTCTTTAGAAGGCGGGGGCCTTCTTAGAAGGGCCCGGAGGCTTTTACGAATGCTTCTTGGGAGCCAGGAGGGGCGTCTGAGATCAGTATCGTTGAACCCATCCCCGTCCCCACTGGGCCATGATATGTCAGCCCCGCCATCCCACCCCCCAATTGAGGACATGCACCTGGAAGCTCGAAGGGAACATGTCCCGATCTTGGGGGGCAGATCGGCCAGCGTTGCCAGGGCCATGCCAGTGGGGACTTTGGGATCGGCCAACCGATGCTCACAGGAGGTTCCCTGCCTTCTCAGAAGGCCGCCCCCCTCGAGCGGCCGACCCCCTTGTGCGCGCCTCCCCTGCCTGCCCAGGGCCCAAACGTTTCGAAGCATCAAGAGTGAGGTTTGCGGGAGTTCTGGGCCACTGGGGGCGGCTCTCAGGCTCCGGGGCCATCGACGCAGCGATCCAGGATGAAAGCTGGCTCCCACGGGTGAGGCGAGAGATTCCGGGCCCACGTCCTGACAGTTACCAATCACGATGTCAGAGGTTCGGGTCCGTCGAGGGTTGGGGATTGAGATCATCGAAGATGCCTACGGCGAATCACAGCCGCCCCTGCCTTTCAGGATATGCCCATGTGGCCAAACGTTTGGATAAAGTTTGGCCACGCTATTGGACCATGCGTTCCCCCAGCCGTTGTGGAAGCCCTTCGGGGAACACGTGTGGGAGGAAAAAGGAGGATGATGAGAGGGAGGGCAAACGAGGATGAGGAGATGGATGAGGAGACCTCTCGGGAGCTTATTGGGTCATTTTTGGGGCCTCCTGGGAGCTTCCCGGGGGCCTCTGGGAAGCCTCTTGGGGGGCTCTTGGGGGGGCTTCGTGGGGGCCTCCTTGGGCCTCTTGGGGACAGTTTCTTGGGGGCCTCTTTGGCAGTCTTACGGCGTTCCTGGCCCGTCTGACGCCGTCGGAAGCCGTCTTGGGAGCCTCTCTGGGCCGTCATGGGTCCCTCTTGGGACGCTTCAGGGACTTCTTGTGGCTTTCTTGGGAAGAGGGGGATGTCTTGGGGGCCTCTTGGGCCGTCGTGGGGTCCTCTTGGGGCCGTCTTGGGGGCCTCTTGGGTCGTGGTAGGGCCTCTTGGAGGTCTCTTGTGCGATCTTGAGGTGGTCTTTGGGGTCTCTTAGGCCGTCTCGGGCCGTCAGAAGGCCGAAAAAAAGCAACTGCCAAAATCCTTCAACAACCGATGGAATATCAATGATTTTGGCCTCTGCGGGCCTTCCTGGAGGCCCTTGTTGGCCGTTTTTGGTACCTCTTGGGGGCCTCTTGGGCCGTCTTGGGCCATCTTGGATCCATCTTGGGCCGTCTTGGTGGCCATCTTGGGGCTATCTTGGGCTCTTTTGGGTCCATCCTAGCCGTCTTGGAGGCATCTCGGAAGCAATGTGGGGCTATCTTGGCCGTCTTCGAGGTGATTTGGGCAACGGGGACCTTTGTTTTCCCTGGCTTTCCGGGTGGCTGGCGGGCTGGGTTGAAGCCCCACAGGGAGTTCCATCGAAGCGAACCAACCATTTGCCAGACATTCGGTACGCCGTGCACGCTTGTGGCAAGTTTCGGTCCATCCCACCACCGCGCCTGGGTTGCGGATCAGAGTCCTCTCGGATGCCTTGCCTCTTGGGGGACTGCCTGGGGCCTCTTCTGGAAGTCTCTGGATGCCTCCTCCTTCCTTCTGTCCCTCTCTCATTCCTCCTCCCTCTTCCCGGTTGCACTCCCTGTCGTCATCTCTTGCCTGCTTTTGGACATCAGAGCTTGGACGCGCCATGCGCTGCTAGGGAACTCTGCAACCGCAACGCGGACGCTCTTGCTCAATACAATGCAAGGCACATCAAGTAAGAATTTGACCTGCCAGCGGGTGACCCCAGGGACTTCAATGGAGTCTTGGGGCCTCCTAAGAAGTTCGAAGACTAGCGAAACATGGGTCCCTATAATTCTTGCAGCAAGTTTGTTATCGTACGTATATGTATGTCGATTGGCCTTCGGCGCACCCGCCACCGAGGTCTCTCGGGGTCTCTTGGGATACCTTTGGGGGACCTCTATGGGGCCTGTTGTGGTCTCTTGGGGGTCTCTTGGAGGCTTCTTGGGCGCCTCTGCGGCAGCGATGGCAATGCGGCATCAGCGATGAAGGGACAGCTCCTCTGATAGACCACTCCACTTCCACCTCCCTCTCTCTCCCCCTCCCTCCTTCCTTCTTTCCTCCTCCCTCCTCCTCTCCCTCCCTCCTCCTTTGCTTCGTTCACTTACCTCTTCCTGGCCAGCCAAGGTGCTGGAGCCCGCTGTTGCTTTGGACTTTCGCCGCGTGTGAGCTAGCACAGATTGGCGTGGGAGAGCATGTGGATACCGCCCCTCCCTGCAGGGCTCGTGCCTTATCCCGCTGCACTCCCATGCTGGCTTGTCTTGTCCCTGTTGCCTTGAGGCGTCAATTCCATTATTCTCCTCCTTCTCCTCCTCCTCCTCTCTACTACATTGCACAATGTCAATGCTACTCCCCTCTCTCCTTTGACACTGCCCAGAAGATCTCTGGTCCTCTACGCGTGTTGGTTTATATACGCAGGATTGCAGTGCTTGTTTCTGGTGTGTGTGTGTTTTTCTGATTGTTTTTGGTGTTTCAATTTGGCGGTCCCGCTGCAGCGTGGGCTTTGTTTTCGGATGGGCGTTTTGCTTCCGTCGTTCACAATCGCTTCTCGCCCTACCGTGGGCCACTATTCTGGACTTGTTTGTTTTGTTGATCGTTCTCGCCCCCTATCTTTCCCCTTGTCCGCCTTCCCCTGACCTTCCTGCTCCTCCCGCTCCTTCCACTCCAGTTCCTGCTACTGCTGTTCGTCCTCGCCCTCCCCCTTCCACATCCTCCTCCGTTTCCGCTTGAACATATTTTGCTCAACGGCCACCTTTTTTCTTTCTCCTCCTCCTGTGCACGCAGCTTCCTTTATCCAGCTGCACATAACACGACGGGGTCTTCTTGCTGGAGTTACAGGTTGGCTCTGAGACGCGTCCGCTGATAGATCCAGGAACAACGTAATGGGAAGGCATGGGAGGGACGGACATTAGATGCGGCGCGAGCGCACTTTGTTTGCCTCTCTCGTCTATCTTTTCTACTCTTCCTGCATCTTCTTCTTCCTCCTCCTCCTCCTCCGCCTCCTCTTCCCCCGTCATTCCTCGAACTCCCCCCCCTCTCCTCCCTCTTCCTCCCCCCCGATCGCGCCTCGCCCGGCTGCCGCCATGGCACCGCACCCGTGAAGGCTTGGGCGGAGAACCGAAAAGAGTTTGTCTTTTGCTGGCGGTGCCGCCAGCCGCCGCCAGCTGGCAGCCGCCGCCGGGTGCCGACAGCCTCTCTGTTGCGCAGCCGCGGCCGCTTCCGCTTTGCCTCGGAGGGGTAAGAGGTAACTAGTGATAACAATGCGTGCCACGATTCGAGGAACTCCAAGATTTCCAAATGTTCCACACGGGCTGCAGAGACGAGGGCCGCTGGATACTCTGGCACTCCTGGAATGCATCTTGAGTCGATCGTATCACGACACCGTTTTCGTCCAATTCTTACCTCCCCTGTTCCCCTCTTGCCCTCCTCGCTCGCCCTACCCGTCCGCCTCCTTTTTCCCCCCTTTCCCCCCCACCCCCCTCCCCCACTGGGCCAGGCCAGGGACGGTCTGGACGCGCTGGACGACATTAACACCGAGTACGGCGACCTGGCCGCGTTCAACGGGAGCGCCCCAGACCCGCAGCTGATGGAGAAGGAGGACGCCAGGGAGAAGAGGAGGAGGAGGAGGAGGAGGAGGAGGAGGAGGAGTTTGGGGGGGAGATCGACAGGAAGCGGAGACCCCCAACCAGGATCTCGGTTTCGGGAAGTTGCGCAGGCGGTGAGTCCTGTGGTTGTCCCGTGGTTGTCCCTTGGTTTGTGCGTGGTTCTTCATTGGTGTACCGTGGTTGTCCCGCGGCCCGCGGTTGTCCCGTCGTTGCCCCGTGGTTGTCCCGCTATCGTCCCGTCGTTGTCCAGCGGTTCTCCTGTGGTTGTTTTGCGATTGTCCTGCGGTCGCCCCGCTGTGGTTCAGTGGTTTTCTAATTGTTGTCGCGTGGTTGTCCCGTGGTTGTCCTGCGGGCATCCCGTGGTTGTCCTACGGCTGCCCCGTGGTAATCCCGTGGTTGTCCCTTGATTTTCCCGCAGCTGCCCCGCGGAAATCGAGTGGTTGTCCTGCGGCTGTCCCTTCTATACGTCGACAGTTGCACCGATCAATACCTAGCGAGGTCCATCGATATAGTGACAGTGAGACTAGTCAGAACATAGTTAGATCGATGGTCGTGTTACTGATTGAAATATTATCGGGATTCCCAGGCTTACGCCACACCAGCGGCCCCTTTTTTGGACTGGCGGTTGTTGTGGGTTGCTCCAGAGGGCCTCTTGGGCGCCTTTTGGAGGCTTCTTGGGGCTCTTTCGATTATCGAAGACGCCTACGGCGAATCACCGCCGTCCCCGCCTTTTGGAATCGCCCATGTGGCCAGGCGTTATGGCAAGAGCTCTGCCAAGCTATCGGACCATGTGGTCCCCCAGCTGTTGTGGAAACCCTTCGGGGAACGCTTGGGGGAGGGTGGCGGGGGAGATCCGGCGGAGGAGTATACGGCGCTGTGGGGGAGGTCGTCGCGCAGTGTGCCAAGACGCCCACCCTAGGTGTGAGGCCCAGAAAACTGGCCCTCCCCTCGCTATTGAAGCAGCACGACCCACCGAAATTCACGGCCAGGGCAGCAAGCGAGAGACACAATTCTTATGGAAAAAGGTGGTGGCATTCAGGACACGTGTTCGCCACGGGGAGCACATCGTGAGGTGCTCTTCTCTCGTGGTGCAATTAGCCACCATTATCACTAGGCTCCACGAGGAGCCGAACTTAAAACACCTTGGGGTCAGACACGGACAAAGGGCGAGGACAAGGTATCGCCCTCCCGTCGTAGCGGCCCTCATCAGCGCGTTGCCGCCCTGCAAGAAAAAACTTCCTTTTCCTGGTGGCGCGCTCGGATGTGCGCTCCTTGGGAACACAGTCCACCAGCAGGTGCCCCGCGGAATCCGTGGAATAATAACCGCATGGAACGCACAACGCGCAGTGCTCCGAGGAAAACCCCAAAGCGATGGTCCCTCGAGGCCTCCGCAGGAAAGATTCCCGAGGAGGGCAAAATCCTGGCAGGAGCCGTAGATGCCCCAGTGGCAGGGCGGTTGTTGCGGGAAGAAGCATCAAGTCGCCTACGCTTGCCAGGAACGAAAGCGGGGCCAGATCGTCAGGAACATTGAACGCAACCACCGCGGTGTTAAGCTCGGCGGCTCCTGCCGCTCGAACTTAGACGATGGGCCCAAAGGTGACGCGACGACGAGTCGACCGAACGCGCGAGGAGTCGCCCGAGTCCGAGGCGCCGAGGTCCAGGGGGTCAGGGCCCATGGCCCCATCGGGACCGCGGCCCTCCAACCGAACCCGAACCGAACGACCAGAAACGACGAGGGGGGAGGCAGGGCGACTGCGCGCACCGTCACTCTGCCTCTGGTGGGGCTCAGGCCCACCCCTGCCCCCAGCGTCGCCGTCCGTCAGCGAGTGAACGGCCGACGGTCGCGCCACAGCTTCAGCAGTGCCAAGCTCAGGCACCGCCGAGGCCACAGGGGCAGCGCCATCCGCTGTCGCAGGGCCCAACGCGTCCGCGAGAGGGCGGCCGCCACCCAGGCCCAACCCTCGAGCCTAAAGGCCCCCTCGGGGGAGCGGCGGAGGCAAGCGGGCGAGTGGGGCAGGTGAGGAGGGAGAGACGAAGACACGACTTCTCAGTCTTCGAGCCCTCCTCCTTGCAAAAAAGTACACCTCCAACAAGTTGTGCTCTGCGCCTGGGAGAACGCGCGTCGCGACTCCATGGCCTTCTGCGAGGCCTCGGCGGGGAAATTTGCCCCAGGCGGCCGTCGGGCCTTGTTCCTGGGTCCAGTGTCGACCATGGAACTTCTGGCAAAAAGCTGGGCCGCCTTAGCTGTCCACTCAAGTGCCCTCAAGCAGTTGCGCCGAGCCATAGTCATGGCATGGCGGTGACGCTTGGGGGCCATGTGTGCATCTCGGCCGTTCCCAGCGCCCAGGGCCGCGCATCGGTTACCAGTCGCGTCGAGGGATGCGCCTTTCTGGTGGGCCTTGACCAGCTGGACCGACAACGCGCGCTCCAATCCTCCGAGGTCGCGTATTTTAACCCAGATCTGCTCCCAGAGGTCAACGTTTTGCCGCCTCAGAGCGGGGCGCCACTCTGGCCCAGAATCGAGGCCGTCACACGGGCCCTTCGAATCGGCGCGCGCAACAAAGGGCAGGGCGCAGACCTGGAGGACCCGGAGAAAAGCAGAAAGTTCGGCCCTGGGCGAGGACTGCGTGGGCCCAGGCAGGGCCCCGTGAACTAAGACGCCGACTCAACTGCACCCCGGGTCTCTTGATTGGGCGAGGCCCCGACCCGCGCGCGAGGGCCCAGGCCGGCGCCGCATCTTCCGACGGGCCCCGTCAGTTTAGACCCGCCCGGCGATGCCCTGGGGGCCCCCGTGCTGAATGACCAACTGCGAATAATCATTTCTCGGCGGCAGCGGTGGGAAGCGCGATCGCCCAGTCAGCCCACGAGGCCAGAAAAGGGAGTCAGGGGCACATGGAGGGAAGCCGCGAAGATCGATGTCTTGCAGTTGTCGTCACCTCTCGGTGCCAAGGGGCGGGCGCCTCCATGCAATGTGAGATGCATCGCAGTCATCTTGCTGGCTGTGTGGGCATTGCGCAGTGTCTTGATGCCCGCATCTCGCCAGTCGTCTTGGTGTCCAAAGTCCCCCCTCTTAAAGTTCTCAACGTCCTTGCCTCCTTGTAACTGGGAATCCACCTACTGCGCGCGCCGGCATCTGGTCTTTCAGGTGGCTCAGGAGGTTCCCCGTCGGAGTCCCCAGGCTCTTGCGGCTCATCAGGGGCGGGGGTGCGGGTGAGGGGGTGGATGATGGGCTCCGAGCAATGCCCGAGAGGCTCCTCGACGATTTCGGCATCCCCAGGGAGGGCAGGTCGCCGGGCCCATTGTTCCTCAATGCGTCGAACCGCGGCTTCCAGAGCCAGCATTCGGAAAGCGGAGGGCGCCTCTTTCAACAAATCCAGATGTACACCGAGATCAGTCTTCTAAATGTGGCATGCGGTGAAGCCCCAGTGAAGGCCCCGAAGCGCCGAGAGCGTGACCCCAGCAGGACCAGCAGCGTGCCTCCACGGGGAGCTAGAAAGGGTGCAGCTTCCTGGTCTGCTGACCCCATGCGCTCTGAAGGATCTCTGCTTGCACTGCGCGATCATGGTACAGTGAGGCCACGCTGAGACCTGCGGGTCGGTGTGCAACGACCCATGTGAACATGCCGTGGTCCAGCAGCTGCTGGTCGATCCATGCGCTTAACGCTGCGCCGCGCGCATCTGAGCAACGAGTGAAGGAGTCGCTCTGTGAATGCCTAGGCCGTGCTCCATGCGCGAGGGCAGGGCCTGTTTCGCAAATCTACTCACCAGAGGACCAGCTTTGCGGACGGCTCGCGCCCTCGGGGTTCTACGGGCTGCTCCTCGGACCCTCGCGCGCGTGCGAGGCCGGCCAGAGCCCACCTCAATGCCAAGAACCTCCAACGCACTGACGTACATGCATCCAAGGGCCTCCCAGACGTCTACCCAAGAGAGGATGGCTTGAGGTGGTTTTCATTGCGTGCGTAGCAGGAGGCAGCCCGAGGCCGTCCAAGACGTGAAGGAGCAACTTGAGAACCTAGATCGCCCGAGAACCAATGCTGCTGAGGAGGCCCCATGATAGAGACCGTGCTATCGTCTGCCTGCAGGTCTATGGTGAGCGGCATGTGCGAAGTGCGATAGTGAAAGGCATCGATCGGCGCGAGCATAATGCTCTGCGGGGCGAACGTAGCACAGGCGCAGCCAGGTATAACCCCACGTCGCGCATGCCTTGGACGAGTAGCAGTTGCCCCGAGCGACGCGACGAGCCCCCATGCACATTCGAAACGCCAGAACGAGGCTCGGTCTTGGAAAACCGTGGAGCGATGCCGATCTCAGTAACAGTCCCCGCCCGACTTTGTCGAAACATTTCGCGATGTCGACGATGGCATGCACCGAGACGATAGGGTCCACGCTGGCGCCAGCAGCTTCACTGACAAGGGCACGAGCGGCAACGTCTGTGGTCGAGCGCTGCGCTCCCAGTGCCCAGAAAGGCCGATGTAGCTGGCTCGCCCGCTGTCTGACCCAGGTCAAACGAGCCGTGACCCATGCGCGATAGATAGAGTTAAGGGATCAATTGGTCTGTGCCCGCCTATTGGCTCCCCATCATTATTCTATCTCTCAGTGCGAGTCAGGCGGGCCAGCAACCAAACACTTCACGCGCATCGAGAACATATTCCCAGACTGCCAGTGCGCCGTTGGAAACGAGAGACCAGTGGCGAGGGCGAAAGTGATCAAGTCCTACAGCGGTCCTGCGAGAAAACTGCGCCGCTGCAGATCGCAAGTCCGCGAGGAGGAAGCCTGGGCCCTTCCGCGCAGAGGTGCCCCATCTCCTGGAGGCCGGCATCGTCGTCCAGATCTCAATAAACGTAAAGGCCAGCCAAAGCACGTGGGTCATCGGCCCCCCCCCTAAACCTGCGGCCAGGACATTGTACATTGCAAACGCCCCCAGGAAGGCTGGAGGGCCCGAGGGCAGTATCAACTTGTGAGAGACACCAGCCACGCTGTTTAGACCATCGATGCATTGGCCCCGACGGGCCCCCCCAAATGCGAGCGCAGCCAGCGAGTGAACGATTTCGAGCGTGCAAAAGCAAGACGGCGATCTTCCTTGTCTGCCAACCGCTCGAGGCAGCCGCCCGCAAATCTCAACATGTGCTGGGAGTTGGACGTGTGCTGTGTGCATGTAGCTTTAAGCATGTACACAATGATGGCACGCACTTCATGCGGGATGTGACGACGCATGCGACCGTCGCGACCTTCGCCAGCCATGAAGTAATTCAAGTAACGCCATGCACGCGTGACTGTGCGCATGGCCTTGCTTGCAGCGGTATGTACATCATGCGCTCGTAATTATAGAAGTCTACGTGCCCTTGAGTATGCAGTGCCTTGCGAGCGCAACGCCTGCAGTAGACCGGCAATAAGTGGGACTTGCAGCTCGGCCGACGCGCTTGCTGGGATCATCATCATCATTGGGCGCAGACCGCAAGCTCGGCCTCAGCACCTGAGCGAAGAGCGGAGGCAATGGTATCGAGACGCTGCCGGAGCTGGTCGTGGCTTCCCATCTTAAGCGCAGAGTCATCACCCATGACTGCCATCCAGTCACCGCCTGGTTCCCCCCGCGGGCGGTCAAACTGAGCCTTCCTATTTTCTTCATCCTGATCAGGGACAACGCGAGCAACGGGATTAGCAGGGAAAGGCTGAGGACCACGCACGATTGTAACATTATGCGCCCGTGCTGTAGCATGCAGCAAATCCCGCATAACGTAGTGGTTGCGAGGAGGAAATTCCGCCACCCTGGTGGGCGAGTCCATGGCACGTGCAGCGCAGTCACTTGCCATCCAAAAGTCAATATTCGCGACGCGACTTGTCTTCGGATCTCGGCGCGAGCTAACGTTAGACGCAACAGTGCGAGCACGGAGTCTGTTTGGGATGGCAGGACCCGATGACGTCTGGACTGTTATGCCAATCGCCCCCAACCAGGCAATGCAGACGATAGAAAGAAAGACAGGCACCCAACCGCTGCATAATGTCAGCAGTGCGGCCCTTCAACTTCCACATTGCAGGAGATAGACCGAGTAGAGCACGAAGCCATGGCGAGGCCCAGCATGAACGACGACAGCGACCGCATGCGCTGGGGCAAGAAGGCGTGCGTTCCGTCCATGATTAGTGGAGGGTGGTGCCGGTGCAACTGCGAGCGGAAATGGCAGCACCTGCAGTCAGTTTCCGCCCTCCTCCACGCGCAGCTGGTGCTATGAAAGGTTTCCAGCCCCGAGCAATCGACCACTCACGCGCGCGAGCGAGACCATCATCGGTTTTACTTGGGCACGCACAGCGTCAAATCATTCTGCGTCCGATCCAAGCAATCCCAAATGTGAGGCCAGCCGCTTCCAGTGAAAGTAGCAACGTGCAGTGGCCTCCTCCTGCTCCTCTTCTTTGCCCTCCTCCATGGACGAGTAGCACGAGCATGTGTCAGTGGGGCTGGAGGAGAAGACGACGACTCAACGATCGGAGCGCAAGGCAGCCCGGCTGCGAGCGCCTGAACAGGGGACTCTGCATTATCTCGTGACTCACCAGCTTCAGCAACAGTAGCAGTATTAACCATCCCAATGAAGGCCCCAGTCGGCGTTGCCGCCCTGCCAGGCTCAGTAACAATGCTGCAGCTCGGTCTGCTTGGCGGCGAGGTCGCGCTGGAGGTCGCTGACGGCGGAGGCGGGTGCGTCGTGCTCCTTCGGTTTCGTCGCCTGACGGTCCAGGGCGCGCCGCAGCATATTGTCAGGAGTGCGGCCAGCACGCTCGCGCTTCTCCTCTGCCGCCAGCGCGCGCTTGGCGCTGACCAGGGAATCCGAGTCTCCAAGCTGCAGCCGTCGCAACGCTGCAACGGCCTTCCTGGCGTCGTGACCTCGTCACTGTCATCGCGCTCCACCGCTGTGGCGCCAGCGCTGTGCCTGAGGGCCGAAGTCGACCTGCGCCGCGCACGGGCGCCCGCTGCTGGGGCCCCACTGGGATCTGTTCTGCCCTGGCGATCCCGGCCGCACATGTAGCGCCTGTCGTTGGTGCTGTAATTGCGCGGAAAATCGCGCTGGCGAGTGGCCGCGCGTGGCCAGCGGGGCTGATCGCTGCGGTCATCCTGTGTGCCTCTGCCTCGTCCTCCTCGGCCCATCGGCAGCCGCGAGCCGCGGTGCTGGGCGAGCGGGCTCACGTCGGAGGAGAGGCGGAGGCGCCGACGCGCAACGGCACGATGCCTGCGCAATCGGCGGTGCCAAGCTGGCGCGCGCGACCGTCCTCGGGATGAGGCGTCACGCTGGGGCAGCGGGGCCTCCCCTCGGCTCGCGCAAGCGGCCAGGGTGGCAGCAGCCGCGCGGCGGGCGCTGGCCCGCTGCAGCCGCGTCGCGCCAGGCACGAGGGCGCTCCTGGGGCCGCCCCCCCCCGCCCGCGGCGGGCCCCCGCGCCCCCGCGGGCAAAACGGCAGCGGGGGGGCCAAGGGGGCCGCGCAGGGAACCACTTATCAGTGCCTACCAGACGGAGGAGGAGGAGGAGGAGGAGGAGGAGGAGGAGGAGGAGGAGGAGGCGGAGGAGGAGGAGGAGGAGGAGGAGGAGGAGGAGGAGGAGGAGGAGGAGGAGGAGGAGGAGGAGGAGGAGGAGCGGGAGGAGGAGACGGAGGAGGAGGAGGAGGAGGAGATACATGCGCGCGCGGCCGACGCGCGAGAGTGGCCTGCATGGTATTTGTTGATGCGGATCGTGCCCCCCTCCCAGCACGCGCGCAAGGGCGTTCGAGCGATCCCGACATGCGCGCGCACGAGAGGCCCGTGTGGCAGCAACTCGTGAACATGTTAAAACACTTCAGGCATTTTGTTCAATTCGCAGGAGTGCGAACGCACGTTTTTTTTGCGTTGACAATCTTGTTGCGGACATTTTTTGTATACATGTTTCTGGACATTACAGTTTCACATTGGTTGGAAACCCATCGTTTTTTTGCATGATTTCGGCATGCCCGCGCGACGACGCGCGCGTGTGCACCTCGTGCCATCTTTTGCAAACGGGTTCATGCGACAGCACGCGCGCAAGGGCGTTCGAACGATTCCGACATGCGTGCGCGCGAGAGGCCCGTTTGGCAGCATATTATGAGCATGTTGCGTAAACTTATTGTGTGCTTCAGGATTCGCAGGAGCGCGGGCGCAAGTTTTGTTTGAACAGTATGGTTGCGAATCTTTGTTTGTTAAAAAAGAGGAGATTCGGGACATTCGGTTTTGACACCCGTACAAAACCCAAGGTCTTGGAAGGATTTCGGCATGCACGCGTGACGACGCGCGCGTGCGCATTTCGTCCCATGTTTTGCAAGGGGTTATTGAGAACTAGTGAGTTGTCATTAGCGGGTATGGGTGCGTAGTATTTTTACTGCAGAGGATGATGGGGCGGGGGCGGATAGCGGCCTGCCTGGGATGTTATGGATTCAGATTTAGGGTGGCCCCCGAGCGCCGCACGACTATCGCCCTTGTGGCCTTACCGCCCCGACACTGCCCCACGACGGCCCAAGACGGCGACAGACAGGCCCAGACGACGGGCGGCGACGAGGCGGCGATGGGGCGGCAACGGGGCGGCGACGGCCGTAGCAAGCGCGGCGACCGACTGACAGGCTTGGACGACGGGCGGCGACGAGGCGGCGACGAGGCGGCGACGGCGGCAAGATAGCCGCGGGACCGACAGACAGGCCCACACATCGGGCGGCGACGAGGCGGAGACGGGGCGGGCGGCGACGGCGGCAACATAACCGCAAGACCGCAGACAGGCCTAGTTCCGTAGTCACAAGTAAGACCATAAGTGCTAGCACTGTTTGGGGGATCTGTGCATGTATGTGTATACATAGATACATACATGAACAATTACACAACACACTGCCTGCAGTTGGGTGTTCTTACTTCTGTCAGTAAGGAGTTGGATGGATGCGCCGAGGTTTCGCCGCGTCGCCTCCCGTGGCCGCCTCGTGGCCGCCTCGTTGCCGCCCACTTGGGGGGTCGGCCGAGATTTCGCCGCGTCGCCGCCCGTGGCCGTCCTGCTTCCTCTCTCCCTATCCTCCCTCCCTCCCTTCTCCCCCCCCCTTCTTTTTCATCTCCCACCTCCCTCCAGGACGGGCTCGACTACCTGCTCAAGGGGTGGCCCAACCTCGAATACTTCGAGAGCTGCGCGATCACGGGCAACGCCGAGCAGGAAATCCCTGGTTCGCCCGTGGAGGAAGAAGAGCTGGTGGCTGAAGAACAACAAGCGGCATACACTCGAGACGCTGAAACATGGACCACTTCGTTTTCAGGAGGCGGATCTGGCTTTCGGGCCGCTCCTTGGGTCTAGGTCGGACGACTCATTCGTGGCTGGGGCTCGCCATGGCCATGAGAGTCCCTTCGTTCCCTATGTGGCGCTTTTCATGTTTGCACGATGGCTGTGAGCATAAAGGTTCGGAGGTCGGCCCAGACCGCGCGAAGCGCGCCAGGGCGGCGCTGGAGGCGCCGTCAGGGAGTGTCCAGCGCCGACCCACGAAATCCGCGCAGACCCCGAATGTTGGTGCTTGTGCAGTTTGGGGGTCTTCGAGGTGGGCACGGTGGAAGCGGGCAAGCAGCTGACGCAGCAGACCACGAGGGGCGCAAGCTTCACAGCGAGGCTAAAGGTCGGGTGTTGCCAGGGGTGGCGCTGGCCCAGCTCAGACATCCGGCATTTTCTCTTGGAAGCCTGGCGGTTTTCCTAAAGCTCGGCTTCGGGAGGCCGCTTGCGGGCCCCAGACCATCACGAGCGGACCCTGGACGCAAAGGTGCCCCCAGGGATTGCGTCGAGACCTTTGGGTGCCGGTGGATTGAAGGGACCAGTCCGCCGGAGGTCTGGGAAGGCGGCCTGCAGGCTTTCCCAGGGAGGCCCCAAAGCATGGTGCCACTCCTTGGATGTCAAATTCTGCGTCGGCGCTGGCATATCCGTGGTCGAAAACGGGCCTAATCTGGCATCATCCCGGTCAATCTGGGCTTCACCCAGCTTTATCCCGCTCATCCCCCGGTTTATCCCGCCGAATCTTGCTGAATCCGGGGGCTAATCGGCTAATACCGCTTAGTGGCCCCGAGATCGGGCTCAATAGCTGCTGAGCGTTCTCGCGGAGATCTCCCATGAGTTGCTCCTGGGCACCCGCAATGGGGCCCAGGCGCCCTCGGGGGTTGCCGAGGGCGGGTCGGTCGAGAAGCGTGGGCCGCCTCGGGCCGGGGCCGCCTCCGCCAGCAACCGAGAAGGGGAGCACCGAGGTGCTCCAGAGAGTGGTGGTCAAGAAACCCAGGCCTGCGGCGTGCCAACCTCGAAAACAAAAGAATGCGAAACCATTTTTTCTCGGAGGGCCGCGCAGAGTTCTTGGATCGGCGTTCCCCCCCCCCCCCCCGCTGGCGGTGCCTCCTGCGCCGCGCATTTTCGCGCGGAGCGCACCAGGGAGGCGGGTTCAGCACATATATCCAAGAAATCCGCGAGGATCCCCGAACGTTCCTCTATAACCTTGTGCGGGGCAGGGTGGGGGGGCGTTTTTTGAGCTCGGGTCGGCTACGTGTAAAAGTGACATTGGGGCTGGCCTGCATGGGTCCCTCTCAACAGTGGTGTGCGCGTCTGGATCTGGCCTCCCCAGGCCCCGCTGAGGCCACGCACCCACGGTCACTCTTGCCCATGTTCACTCTTGCCTGTAGCCAGCCTCTTGGACGCCCCCCTGCCTTCCGGCGGGGCCTTCTTGGAAGCCTCCAGGAAGGGGCCGGGTCCCTTCTCAGAAGGCCGCCCTCCTTGTCGTGCCCCTGACCCCCCAAACCCGATCGAAGTCGGCCCTCAGATCCGTCCCTGGGCCATTGTGTGCCGGCTGGTCTTTTAACGCACGCCAGTTCCGTGATCTCATCATCCCAGGAGTAGTACTCTTCGATGGCGGCTTGTGTCCGTGGTGGTGGTGTGTGTGTGTCTGAGTGGGGGAAAAGTAGGTCCCCTCCCCGGGTCCACTCCTGGCCCATTCCCCGAGTCGTGTTCCACCGTGGAGAGAGACGGAGCGGGCCTCGAGGCCTCGAGGGTAGAAGAAAAGCAGGGAGCATGAGGAGGAGGAACAGCAGACGGAGAGAGGCGGAGAAGGAGGAGGAGGGGGCGGAGGGGAAGGATGGGGAGGAGGAGGAGGAGCAGAGGAGGAATCACGGCTGGGTTGGCCTCGAAATCCTGGTCAGAATCGCATGAGAGGTCTGAAGTAGCGGTATGTTCCCCCCCCCAGAGGAGTAAGCCCAAGATGTATACACGATGCTGCAATGCACCCTCCCCGCCTCAAGTCTCCTCCTCATCAGTCCCTATGAGCACTCACGAGCCCCAAGTCTCTACGAGCTCCTCAGGGTTCCGCCGCAATTCAGACGGGAGCTCCGTTTGAAAGAGACCGCCTTCCGTCCTTTGAGCTAGACGGACTGCGACAAGGTGGGGTTATCAAGTTCAAGGGAGTGGCCAGCGCCAGCCCGCCATCCGTCCAGCTTTTGTACAGTTTTAGATTCCTGGCCATCACCTAATAAAGTCTCAAGCGAGAGCCTCATTTTGAAAAGGAGTCGCCCTATATTATTGTAACTGTTACAGGGTTTTACTTTCAACCGAGTGCGCATTCCGCCGGCCCATATTGTATTGTCTTTGTCGTTTGCTTGCGTGCTCGTGTGCGTTGGGAAGCTGTTGGGTGCCCAAACAGTCATGCAAAACTGGCGCGGGGGAGAAGGCATCGCTTGTTGTTACGGGGTGCAATACTTATCGGAACACGCCCCCACCCAAGTCTCGCCATCGAAAGGCCGAAAGCACGAGAAGACAATTTGGAGGTCCCTTCGTGGATTGTCGGGGCATCTTTGGAGATTATTGGGCGTCTTTGGGAGGTTTCTGGAGGCTTCCTGGGGGCCTTTGAGATGACCCTTGGGGCCTCACGGGGGCCGTCTTGGATCATTTCGGACTAACTGGAGGTATTTTTGGGGCTGTCTTAGACCATCTTGGGCCACCTTGGGGTCATCTCGAAGCCTATTGGAGCTGTCTTGGTGCCATCTTGGTGCCTGCCTACCCCTGGTCCCCGCTATCGAATCCTCTTGGGGCTCTCATGGCTCGTTGGGGCCTTCTTGGGGCCCATTGGAGCCCGCAAAAGGAGGAACACCACAATCACATAACATTTTTTCATGATCCTGGCAACATTGGCCCACTTTGGGATGATCTTGGGGCCCCTTGGAGGTTTCTTGGGGGCTGTCTTGGACCATCTTCGGCAACCTTGGTGTCATCATGGGGCGTCTTGCGGCTGCTTGGGGCCATATCGGGCCCTACCTGCCACTGGCCTCCGCTGTGGGGCCGCGCTCGGGGCCTCTTCTGGCTCTCTTGCAGCCTTCTTGGGGCCCAATGGGGCGCAAAGACGATCCCAGAGAACCGCAACAGCTCCCCAAGACACGCCCAGAAAGTCAAACAAGGCCCCGACGTCCCCTATATAAGCCCGATCGGCTCCCAAGAAGCGCCCAAAAGGCTTCTAAAAGGCCCCGCGGAGGCTCGAAGACTGCCTCATACGCTTCTGGTAGTCTCCATCGCAGCCCCGAGAAGTACCAATGGCCCCCACTTCTTCGTCCTTCTCCTCGTCCCTCTTCTCTTCGTCGTCGTCCTCCTCCTTCTCGTCATCCTTACTGTCCAACTTATTGTCGCACGTGATGTGAGGCCACGGCCTCCTGCGCCATGCCCAAAAGGGCACGGGCACACCAGTGTGCCCGACTCCGGCGCCTTCGCCTTCGCCTTCGCCTTACTGTCCAATTTATTGTCCTCCACGCTGTTCTTCACTTTTTCTTCTCTTAGTATTCCTCCCCGTCGTCCTTGTCCTTTACCGCCTTGTCCTACTCGTCCTCCTGGTCGATCTCCTCCTCGTGAGCCTCGTCCTCATCCTCATTCCCCCCGCTCTTCCCCCTCCACATTCACGTTGCCCTCATATTCCACTCTGCCGTTCTCCTACCTCTCGTCTTTGTCTTGTTTTCAGTTTTCGTCTATCTCTCGTCCTCCTCGTTCTCGTCTTTGTTTTCAGTTTTCGTCGATGGCGCCTGGGCTGCGACCTGCAGCCGCCACGCCCGGGGACCTGGGCCTGGTCTCGCCGCCCGCCACCCCACGCTGGCCCAGTATTTTGCTGGATGCACTCCACCCCTGGTGCGCCTCTACTTGCCGCGCCTTCCGCGCACCCACCTGGGCGGCGCGCGGCCCGCCAGCCTTGCGCTTCGTGCTTCTTGTCGGTTTCGTGACGTTTGACTCGCAGTGCCGTACTGGGCCCCGCCTCAGCTGGAACCCCGGCGCACCAGCCGCCTCAGTCCCTGTTGGCGGGGCTGGCCGCGCCAGCTCACTCAGGGAGTGACCCGTCCCCTCTGAGTGGCCCTCGCTTTTCCCCCTCCTTGCGGCCGCCCGCTCCGTCCCTCTTCCTCCTTTCGCATGCTGGCCAGTTCGCTACAACGGTGCCCCCGTTTAGTAGGCTTCTTCCGCCAGCGCAGACGACCTCTGCCCAGCCGCCGACGCAACCAGTCCTCGTCCTTCTGCTTCTCTTCCTCCTCCTCCTCCTCCTCCTCCTCCTGCTCCTCCTCCTGCTCCTCCTCCTGCTCCTCCTCCTCCTCCTCCTCCTCCTCCTCCTCCTCCGCCTCTTCCAGACCCTGGTCAACCTCTGCCCAACCTCTGTCATTCTTCAGTTTCCTCGTCCTTGTGCTTGTCTTCTTCCTTGTAGTCCTCCGGGGCCTCTTCACTTTCCCCTCGTCCGCCGTGCTGTTCTCCTCCTCTTCCTCTCCCGCCTTCCTGTCGTCCTCCGATCCATTACATTACTTGTTGTTTTGTCTTACGAGGCGAGTGGGCAAACGCTGCGCTTCCCGTTTTTTTTTTTGTCCGGTCGGGCTGCTGCTCTTTGTCACGGTGGTGGTTTGGAGCTGGTTGGTTTTGGTGACGTCAGGAGCTGGGTTGGTTTTCTCTGCGTTTGGGAGGCGCGCTGCATGCCTTGATTTGGAGACAGGTAGCATGAAGCTCCGCCTTGTGACTTGTCATTTTCCTCATAGAGACCGCTCATATGATGAATATGACGAACTTCTTGAGCTCCTGGCGAATGTGGTGGAAGACGGGCGGAGGAAGGGCTGCACCAACATAGTCGGAACGGATGCCAATGCTGTCATTGGGATTCCGAATGGCACGGATTCCCCAGACATCATAGGGCCCAGCGGCCACGGCAGAAAATGTTGGAGAGGTCACATGCTCACGGAATGGCTACACGGGGCGAAGCCTGCAGCGGCCACCACGTTCATCGACAAACCTTTTGACGAAGCATGGACACATCAGCTGTGGAACACCGGGGAACGACGACAAACAAATTATGTCTTGGTTGACGAAATTGCAGCAAAAGGAGTCCAAAGCTGGGTATCGCACATTCTTTGGACGGCAAGTCGGACCACAGGGCGTTTTCGACAACTTTGAAGGTTACGGAGCGGCCGAAGAAAAGGAAAACAAAGAAACTGCAAGTGGGATGGAAGCCGCGCCGGGGGCCAGACGGCAACCCGAACGAGATTCACGACTGCCTTGACGGCGCCCTTGCTGAGCACGACTTCGACCTGGACCCAACCCCCAAGGTGGTGGAGGCGGCTGTGGAGACCGGGGAGCGCAACCGTTTGGCAACGTCCAGTCCAAAACATGGGCCGGAAGTCGAGCGCTTATTTGACGCGCGCCGGGATGAGACGGACCCAGACAGACGGCGTTCCCTATCGAAGCAGCTCTGGAGGGCATTGCGACGACAACGACGTAAAAAACAAGATTTGGAGTTGGAACAACTTGTCGTCAGAGGGGCTGGCCTGGGAGCACTTCGACGGTTTGAGCAGAAGCACAAGGGTATCGAAATAACTCTTGCGATCCAAGACCACAGCGGTTTCACGCAGACAGACCAGGCATCAATCAGCGAGGTTTTTGCGCAGTTTTATGAAAACTTGTATCGAAATACCACTGTCGCCATCGAGCCCCCATTGAAGGAAACTGCCAACGAAGGCGTGACGGAAACAGAACTTCGACAAGCGCTGAGGAAACTGAAGGGCGGCAGAACTGGGGCAGACGATGGGCTGGTAGCAGAGATGCTGAAGACAGGGCATGCACATTTGGTTTGTGTCATCGCAGAAGTCTTCTCGCAAGTGTTAAATGGGGCTCTGGACCCGCCAGAAGAATGGAAGCTTACCAAATTTCGCGTGTTGTTCAAGAGGGGGGATCCGTCCCTACCAAAAAAACTACAGACCTATAGCAATATTGCCCGTGATGGCGAAGTTG